AAAATTCAATTTTGATTGGAATGAGCTCAAACTTTTAACACAAGAACATGTATATGTATCAGTATTAGTTATAAAAGTGTTAATTTCTCTCGTAGCTACTTTTGATGAAATTTGGCCAAACACTGTAATATATTAGTACAGGGTATTTTGTCTAAATTTTAAAAAACTTTAAAATTTCAAGAAAATCCAATTTTGATTGACGATGCAACACAAGAACATAATAACAGGAAAAATTATAAAAGTGCCAAATTCACTGGGGTATTTTGTCTAAACTTTGAGCAGCTTTAAAAAAATTTTTGAGATCAAATTTATCAAAATCAGCTCAAACTTTCCTTGCAATGCAAGAACATGTAGAATTCCCTTTGTAGAAATTTTTGACATAATAAGGGGTCCCCATACTGGGTGTTTTGTCAAATTTGGAACTGTAATATATAAAATTTATTGGCACTGTAATACCTGATAATTATGCTAAACAATTATACAATGTATGTCAATTAAAATTTGTATCTTTTGACAAAAATTTCACAGGATTTTAGAGCAAACTGGCCCCTTATTGGATAGAGCAAAAATGAAGTTGTCATCTCTACACTCTAGCATGAAGAAAGCAAGGTTCCCTATGACTTTATTGGAGGAATTACAACTAGCAATAAGATTAATAGAAGATAAGCAATTACAATTAGGAGAAACTGTAACTAATACTGTCCATGTGTGTGTGTAGCTGTATCATTGTGTGATTATTATTATTATTATTATGTATTACCGTATAAGTGGTATTACCGTATTAGTGGTTCTATTGAGGGAATTATTATTTGTGAAATCTACTAAATTTTCAATTTGTGGATGTTAATTATGTGAATGCAACCACATCCCATGTGTGTACTATAATAAATTGATTTTTTTTGGATTTTATTTTCATGAATCAGGAAGGAATCTACAAAATCTGTGAAATTTGCAACCCTAAAAACACTTATGGTATCTATTGTTATCATTCAATCAATTGAAGTTTTATCTTGTAAATGTAGAAGCATAGTCCAAGGGTGATACACTTTTAAAGCTGAATTCTAACTAGCTACCAGTGTATATTATGTAGTATATTGTGTGGCCAATAGCCCACTTAATTTGCCACAATTGAGATCAAGTTCATCATACATGATGAGCTGTAAACCAACCCTTAGGTATTTGACAAAGTACCATATTTCCTCAGATAAAGGCCTAGGCATTTATTGCTTAACAGAGGCAAAAATCACAGAAAAATAAAATAAAGAAAGTGCCAAAACCCAGGCTCGAACCCGTGACTTTATGTTCTGAAGACTGAGGATGAACAATAAGGCCATAGATACTACGTGTAGTATCTATGATTAGGCTATTTGGGCCACTCTAAACATAAGGACACATAATACTGGGTCAAACATGCATATCATAGTGGTAATATATTAGTGATAGGAATTTATTTGAATAGGATGCCTATTTGAAGAAATACAATACATACTCTCACTGTAAATGATGACAGCAGCTCACTTTTCAATTATCAGCAAACTAAAATTAATAAAAACTAGCAGTGGCTTCAGTAACTAAAAGTAAGTTAAGAATTAAATCAGCAGTTCAGCACTCACTATTCTAAAAATTTTATTGTTGTGACAACTAATATCTTGATTATTATTTAACATATATTTCGTAGTAGCTAACAGGAGCATCTTCATTGCTTGGTGATTCATCTCCACACACCCTCAACTCAATATAGTCAGTAGTGGTAGCACTACCATAGTCTCTGTGAAACCATGGGATACCAGGAACATTACAACAAGGTGCCTCGTTTGAAAAGCAATCTTGACCATCCCAAAGCGTATCATTTATGTACAGTGTAACTGAAGCATACCCATAACGACCTGATTCACAAAAGTAGTTATTACCAATAAAAGACAGCACTGATACTGAATTACCAGTATTGCATGGACATGCACGTGTTGCAGTACTATCCTCAGCATAACCACTCATTAATGTCCAGACATGTTCACGATACGACCCACGAGTAATGCTAACACCATCAACATAATAAGTATCAATGTTATTACGAATGTTATATCTATGCCAGTAAGAATAAATATATGAAGGTTTGATAGCGTCGGTACTGCCATACTGATATCCCTTCACTCTACCACATATCTGAGAGTAGATCAGGTTTTGAGATGGGAAAATTGCAGAAACACAGCCATAATTTGGTCTACCACAAGCTCTAATTCCTTCTGACTGGTACAGTCTAAACCCAGAAGGACAGTCCTCTGTAGCATCAGTCATATCCAGATATGCTAGTCTTGTCCATCCTCCTCCTGAACCACACAGTTCCTCCATATTACAGTAAGCAGTGTAAGTTTCATTATCTGTTGCTAATACATAATACCCTGATATGCTGCTTGGGTACTGGCTTTTTAATTCTTCGCAAGAAGTTGGTAAAGGAGTCGATTCATTGTGCAGTGCCAATAGTTCTTGTGCCACTAGTAGTATCTCATTAACCACTCCAGCAGTGGAGGTACTGGTGTCGTGTAGATTAGAAAGAGCGTTGACAATTTCATTAAGCTTGTGTGCAACCCCATTTGTGGTATGTAGTATCTGTTTATCAAGCTCAGTGAAGTTGGAATGAAGTAGCTCGAAAGTATTTTGTGCCACATTGTTAGCCCATTCATTGAAGTCAGGAAGGCTCTTTGCTACATTGCTGTTAACTTTAAAGACAACACCATTAGCCCATTCATCAAATTTAGGAAGGCTCTCTGTTACATTGCTGTTAACTTTAGAGACAACACTGTTAGTCCATTCATTGAAGTCAGGAAAGCTCCCTATTACATTGCTGTTAACTTTAGAGACAACATCGTTAGCCCATTCATTGAAGTCAGGAAAGCTCTCTGTTACATTGCTGTTAACTTTAGAGACAACACCATTAGCCCATTTGTTGAAAGTCAGGAAAGCTCCCTATTACATTGCTGTTAACTTTAGAGACAACACCGTTAGCCCATTCGTTGAAGTCAGGAAAGCTCCCTGTTACATTGCTAGTGACTTTAGAGGCAATGCCATTAGCCCATTTGTTGAAGTCAGGAAGGCTCTGTACTATACTATTGTTAAAATTCTCAATAGCTAGATCAAACAATTCTGTAATGTTTGGAATAATCTGTACCAACATTTCAAGTATAATTTCAGCATTTTCAATTTTAGGAGGATTATTCATATTATTATCAGCTGCTGCAGTTGTGGCACCCTTTTGTTCTGGTATACGAAACAGCATTAAGCAAAGTATAGCCAACAGCAGCATCAATATGATGCATAGCAAGACAACAAGAACAATAAATGGTGTGTTCCATGCTGAATGTTTTGGTACCTTTTTTAAAGGCTCTGCCTGTTGAAAATCATTCTTTGCAGTAGAACCAAAGTCTGCTAGCTCATATATGTGATCCTCTATTGGTGGGTTATTTTGAGCTTTTCCTTTGACTTCCATTAAATTTAATGGCAAAAAAGAGTGTAGGTGCATGAAGCTATTAATTTCACTTTTTATAAAAAATGAAAGTATTTTTCCGGCTACAAGGCATAGCTAGTTATATATTAGCCTAAAATGTTCAATACAAAAGGATTTAAAATGTATTCACAACACTACCATATAAAAGGAGAACAAACAAAAATCTGATTTTTTTGTTTATGATTAACAAAACTAAACGCAACACCATTAACAAGTAGACAAACATAAACAAAGTCCACTTAGCAATTAGGTTAAAATATTAGTGTGTGCAAAATTGATGCTTGTCTGTCATTCATTGTACATATAAGATCAACATACTAATAGCTAGCTATACTTATGATGTAATCCTTTAAGTTACAAACAATGATATATAATGTCACTCTGAGTCTATATGACCAGACATATTGTATTTATTTCTGTTGAGTGTTGTTGCTTTTATGATAAATTGTTTTTTGTTGTTGCTGAATGTAACTCTTAACCATTCACAAACAGATCATCTTTCAATTTGATCTATTCTCAAATTTTAATACTAGCTAGAACACTCACCACAATGTCACGTATACTTGATATCAGCTAATCATTATAAGCTCATTGTCAAACATAAAGTATTATTCTTGTTATACCGATAACTCTGCAGTGTACCAGTGCTATAATTGTTGTATTATTGTTATCAAATATAAATGATCAAGTGGAGTGACACATCTGGGTTCAGATACCAAGTCTTCATCTTATTTATTGTATGGGGTATAATTAAAGCTAGCATGGAGAGAGATTGAGGTGGGAATTGTAGAAGAGGGAGAGAGAGAGATATCATAGCTGCTATGAATTGACCAAATTTGGTCATAATGAAGTTGTACTAGAGACATTTTGTATAAACTAGTGGTACTATAGTTTATGTATGGTTCTCATGTGACAATGATAAGAGTGACACATACACCCACTTCTCTTGTGCTCTGCTCTTTACCATTAGTGACTGGATAAAGGAACTGCTTCAGTGTATTTATTGTAACAATATTTACAAGATGATTGACGTCTCTCAATGGAGAGCAAGTATTGGACTGTGGAACTACTGTCAAGCTGCCTCCAGTAGACCAGCTAGTGGCCGCCACTCTCACTCATTCAAAGCTGCAGTAGACAGCAAGTCAGGCAGTACTACATCAGGAGAGAAGACGTCCAAACTGCCAGCAGCTCTGTTCCTTATTGCTTTCCTCCTCCTCCTCTTTCACTCTCTCTCTCTATTAAGACACATCTTCATAATTCCTCCAACAGGTAAACAACAATTGTAACTTTGTACTTGTATATTTACTGGTATTTTATTATTAGGTAACTGCTACCAAGTACAATGTACTACTGGTGTTACTGTTACTGATACCAATTACCTCCAGTCAGTAGTCTTACCAGGAGGCAGCAGTTCTAACCTGATTTACAATGATCTCTATTTGATTGTTTGTCTACGTATGCTCCTCCTCTTATCAGGAGATGTTGAACTCAATCCTGGTCCTATGATTGATGATCGACCTGATATTTCATTGTTGCTTCAATGGCTTGAACCACTTGTTGAATGGCAATCATTTGGACGTCAGTTACCAGGAATAACTCCAGATATTATTACATTAATTGAACAATCAGAAACTGATCTTTATCATAAAAAGAAAAGGCTCATCACAGAATGGTTATCCATCAATAAAAATGCAAAATGGATGGATGTGATTTCAGCATTAAAAAGAAGGAAAGAAACTGAACTAATGCAATTCATTTGTGATCAGATACAAGTACAACAATGTACAGGAGGTACGATGCATAATCATAATGATTATTATTATTATTATATTTAATCTGCATAGGTAATGATGATGCTCCTAGTACTATACCAGCAGCACCTATTGTTTCATCATCAGTTTCTGTAATTAATGAACCTGATACTAGTACTACATCAGGTAAACATACACTTATCAAAGACAGCGTTTATTAACTGCAGTAGGTAGTTCAAAGGAAATATTAAGGACTCATTCTCACGCACTTGCTGATACTATTACTACTAACCTTTACAGAGTAACTGATGCACTGTATGCTAAAGGACTGGTACCACTGGATACAAAAGAATTCATACATACAGCAACAGGAATATCTGATTATAAAAAATCAAGCCATTTAGTGTCTGAGATACAGCGACATTTAGTATCTTCAGATCAATACCTAAAAGATGTATGTTGTGTATTTATAAACCAACAACATCATTCACTAACAATTATTGCTACCTCTATATTACACCAGTTAGGTGAGTGTGTGTGTGTGTGTGTTCGTACATTATCAGTGATCTATATAGTCATTATATTTCAATACATTAGGTCAGTCTATACCTGATAATGTCACATCCATTAGATCAATACCTGATGATGTTCAAGGATATGCTGACAATATGAGACAACACTACAAACACCAACCTATTGTTGCTACAGACTGGCCTCCAAGAATAAGAAAGGACTACTTTGGAAGACTAGCACTAATAGAAAAACAAGACTCCAGCACACAAGCAGAATCAGCTTGGCATATGCTAAGAGGACAAGTTGATAAAACAGTTAAACTAACTGGAAACAAAGAGATAAGTGTTGAAGATGTCCTCCAACCCACAGATAGTTCTCTATCTCTCAGAGTAGTAATAGACGGTCCTCCTGGTATTGGCAAGACCACACTCTGTCGTAAACTGTTAAATATGTGGTCTAATGGATCCCTTCCATATCAACAGTATGACTTGGTACTTTACTGTCCTTTAAGAAATAGCAAGATAGCTAGAGCTACTAGACTAGCTGACCTATTTGTCCGTCAACGTTATGAAGTTCCCATGGTAGCTGAATGGTTTGAGAAGAGGAATGGAGAAGGATTACTGATAATCTTTGATGGTTGGGATGAACTAAGTGAACAACTCCAACAGTCTTCATTAGCTACTAGTATCATTTGTAAAGAGAAGTTAGACCAATGTTCAGTAATTGTTACCTCTCGTAGCTATGCCTCCTCTTCACTTTTAAAAATTGATATTCTCAGTAGACATGTTCAGGTTATTGGATTTTCTAAGGAAGAAATAATGATATTAATTATACATACACTTCAAAAAGATGCAAAACTAGCACAAGAACTAATTGATGAAAACATTGAGATAAAGTATTTCCTGCCCACGCTTAAAAAATATGGTCTAGTAAAAGAGGCAGTGATATATGGCTACAAAGAATATTTCACAACTACTCAAAGCAGTAAGCATTCACAATTAGCAGTGAATCTCATTAATGACCTCCAAATTCGGAATGATGTCCAATCATTGTGTTATGTACCACTGGTCTGTTCCATGGTCATATTAGTTTATTGTAAGGAAGGAGGACGCTTACCAACAACACTCACTCAACTGTATGAGAACTTTATCCTACAAACTATCAGAAGACATGTTAAAAGACATGACATTAACCCACATACTTTAGGTAGTCTTTCTTCATTACCATCTCAATTAGCTAAGCCTTTACAAGAAATGTGTCAATTAGCTTATACTAACCTGGCTAATACAAGAATGAAATTCTCTTCACATGAACTACAGTCATTTAGTGAGGCAGTCAAGGAAGACTATCTTGGATTGATGACAACATTTATAGATTATGATGAGGAGAAGTATCAGTTCCTTCACTTGAGTATACAGGAATTTCTAGCTTCATGGTGGATAGCTAAGCATGAGAAGACAGAGGAAGTGTTTAAGGATCACTTTGATGATGATCACTTTCGGATGTGTCTGAGGTTTGTGGCAGGTCTAACTCACCTTGATCATGAAAGCTATCAGCAGTATTTTAATAAGCAACTTGACTTACAGTGTAAGAGGAAACCATTGTTTGGATTTGAGACTTGTCATCTCTCTTACTTTTATCAAAGTCCTGAGATTAGACAATATGATCATGTCAAATCTGATGATTCTGACAATGTTCCCCCCATTCTTCTTCTTCAACTCCTGTATGAATCACAGAATTCAACATTGTGTCAAGTATTAGCACAATCCATAAACAACCACTCACTGTGTCTGAATCAAGTATCATTATCATTGTTTGACTGGTTGTGTCTCAGTTATTGTATAAACAATTCCAACACAACATGGAATCACTTGCACCTGGGGACTGTATCTAACCAGTCACAATCAGTCTTTGCTGCTGGACAAACCAATAATTCACTACAGATCCAGTGTAAGAGACTGGAGGTGGTAGGGTTAGATCTATTAAATGATGAATTAGTACACAAATTATTACAAACATCACTTCTTCACAGTATTCATGAGTGCTACTGTTTAGTAGAAAATCGTAAATTTCCTTGTTGTCTTCAAGTTGTAATTTTAGAATTCTTAAATCTTCCTCAACTAAAGGTATTGCATTTATTGATGGGTCACGTATTTGACATTACAGACAAGTGCACTGAACTTGAGAAACGTATTGAAGTGAATTCAACACTACAAGAAATGAAGATTAAGTACACAAGCTTCAAAAAGATACCAAGTACTGTAAGTATCATTAGAGGAGTAACAAGAAATAAATCAATAACCTCATTGATGCTACATGTTGATGTTATTATGGCTTTTTCTTGTGATGGATTGTTCTCATGGACCAGAAACTTCAGCCCTGCAGATGGAGAAATAGAACAGTTGCTAAAGGACAACAGCACATTACAAGCTCTTTCACTGGACATACCTGATGAACTCCTACCATCATCACTGAATATTGTAGAGGTGAACACACCACTGACAGCTGTAGAGCTAGGAAGATGGTGGAGTAGTAAACTGATGACATCACTCCTTCCACATATAAAAGGATTACAATGTTTGGTGCTACATGAACCATACCCACCACATCTTCTATTTCTCTCTCATCCCAGTCTACATACACTTACTTTACCCCTAGACACAGCTGAGAGTGCTATTGAACTATTTAACATTGTAATAGCTAATGTTACACTAAAAGCTCTGAAAGTGAATATACAGAAGAGTGGGGTCTATACAAGAGGTATGAGTTCTAGTCTACAAGACATGTTAAAAGAAAACCAAACTCTAAAATATTTTGAGATCAATGATCAAAGTTACAAGGATGGTGATATTCAACTCCCTTTCATTTTTTTGTCCTCCATAACAAATGGTCTGATACACACCACCAGTCTACAGCAATTGAGTGTGCCCATTCCATTGAACGAGGGAGGTGTTATACGAGCTTTTATTAATGTTACCTCTCAAAACAGAAATCTCACAGAACTTCAGTTGAACTTCAGAGTAAATTGGTATACTGATGATGAAAAGGAAACACCCTTTAATGAACAGGTACTTCCTGCTGTTACTAACTTTTTACAATCAAATGTAACTATTAAACTACTGACAATAGAGTATTATGACAATACTATGTACATCTCTAAGGCATTAAATCCTGATATTCTATGCCAGCCTAAGTATAAGATAATGATTGCAAAAGTAAAACTACTATATGAGAGTGTCTTTGTCCATCCCTCACTTGTACATATTAACATAAATGCTGGAAACTACAAATTTATCCTCGAGGATGCTCTTGAAGATCAAAAGAAGACATTGATTGATCAACACAGAATAAAACAACCACACAAACCACTACCAATAGTGAACTTGTAGGAATGTTATTAATAACTGAACTACAAATTGTTGTTGCTATACTCTATCTATCTATTCTTGATTGTGGCTATTAAATTGAAATTTGTTAAATTCAAATGTAACTAGGCTAAAAATCTACAGTATGAATTACATGTAAGTATTAGGCCTGTAAGCCGGGGGGGGGTTATATGCTACCAGCTGTTTCATGTTTTTTCAGGTTTTTCATATTTCTTTATGCAACTTGCCCTTTTGCAAATTCACAACAATTATTTTGATTCGTCAGAAACACAACCTTTACCATCACTTAAATGTGTGGATTTACATGCGTAGTGCAGTTTAAGGTGCTTTAAAATATTGAATGTTCATGTACATGTCATTAAGCTATAGTTTTTATTAATATTAGGATGAGCATGAGCGAACCCCACATAAACAACATGAGTATTTGGGTGCATGTCACCCCTATTTATTTGCAATACAGTAGTTACTATGAATTAGTAATGCAATTATAAATTGAAAGTATGTGGTGACAGCAAAATAAAGTAAGCAAGAATTACATGTAGAGCTAGAAGACTAAAATTTACTTAAATCGTCTAAAGTGATTTTATGAGCTGTAACAGTCATCCCATTATGAAATTGAATTGAATCAAATTGGAATTGCAATTGCATCATTGCCTATGATAGACCATATGTACATGGATAGATCTAGTGCTAAATATAAATGCTTTGCTAGCCTCGACTCTTAATGTTTTACATCCGTCTAGTATTATAGTTAATAATGAAAAAATTAATGCATTTAAGTGTACAGCCAAGCTACATAAAGAGTTCAAATAAACAAACAAACACACTTTAGATCACTTACAAACAATAACACAACAGACTAAAATGTAATTATATTTCTACTTTTTCTATTTAATGCCCCTCATTATTCGTCTGCAATGTTGACTCTTTATTTCAGCTAGTGCTGTCTCAAGACTGTTAGTCAAATGAATGAGATTAACAGGATCAGTCTCTATCGTATGAACACTAGGAACATCTAATGAAACAAATAAGAATACAGTAAATTTTTGTTGTCACCACTACCATTAACATTAAATTAGTTGATTATACATGTACATGTAGCAGATAAATACACAAAATTTCATTTTGAAAGTAACACTAGTACAAAACACTACTTCACTCTATGCTTCACTCTACCCATAGCCACTGCATGAATACACCTACTTGATAATAAACAAAAATTTGGCTTAGACTCAGATATACATGTAATCTTGAAACATGATAGGATCATTATACGTTATCATTAATATTGCTATAATTACTTTGATGAAATACACAAACCTTGCATTAAAGCCCCTTTTTGTTCATTTGAAAATTTTACACACACAATTTACAATGTAATATGCATGGCCTGTACATGCATCAATATGAATCCAAATTTTTTTCATAAATAAATTTTGTCAATATACATGTATTGTCAGGGTCTTTACTACTAATGTATGTACACATGTACATACATGTACATGTACCTTCCTCCTCAGCATGTAGTCTCAGTAGTATTGATGGTTGTACTTGTCGTTCCAGTGATCTAGAGCTCAGTTGTGCCTCCAGTCTCCACTCCAGGTCAGTGTAGTGAGGAAGATCAAGGGACATACTCATTAGGAGGGACCTTATCTCAGAACTGTTCTCCTCATATAGCTAAAAAGAGGATGAATATTAATTAACTATAAGAGAATTAAAAAAGCACATTGCCATAATAGAGAGGGCTTTTGATCAGGTTAAAATGAATGCCTAAAAATCAAGGTATTAGTCAATATGCATTGGCTTGTTGTTTTGATGCTCATAACTTGAAAAATATTCATCAGAATCAGCTCAAACTTTCTATATGGCATAAGGACATCGATATGTATCAGAAAATGTAACAAGAATTGGGGTAATTTTTGAGCCATTTTTGAAAAAACCATAGGCCTTGGGTAATTCTTATAATTTCAGCATTTCTTAAAATAGCCGTAACTTGAAAAATTGAACTTGGAATCAGCTCAAACTTTCTACATAGCATTAGTACATGAATGTGTATCAGAGTAATAAAAATTTGGAATGATTTCAGAGTCATTTTCGTTAAAAACCATGGGCTATAGCTTTGGATACTTTCCAGAATTTTGCATTTTCTTAAAATGGCTGTAACTTGAAAAATTGAAGTCGGAATCAACTCAAACTTTCTATGCAGCACAAGGAAATCAATATGCATAAGGAAAAGTAATAAAAATTTGGGGTGATTTTGGAGTCATTTTTGTTAAAACCATAGGCCTTGGGTACTTTTCGGAATTTTGCATTTTTTTTAATGGCTATAACTTGAAAAATTGAAGTATGTCAGAATCAACTCAAACTTTCTATACAGCACAAGGATATCAATATTCATCAATATGCAACAGAAAAGTAATAAAAATTTGAGGCAATTTTGGAGCCATTTCTTGGAAAAACCATGGGCTAGTATAGCCTTTGCATTTTTTCAAAAATTTTGCTATATTTAGAAAATGCTCATAACTCAAAAAATATTTGTCAAACTTTTTACATAGCATAAGGATATCAATAATTATGTTTGATGAAATAAACTTATTGCATACAATTCCTTGTTTAGCTCCTCGTCAAATCCAAGTATCATAATAGAATCCAAAAATCAATTTCATTGACTGATAGTTTCGAAGATTCAACTAGTAGAAACATGAGACCTTGAACACTCTGTTTAACAGTAGCAGTATCAACACCTAGCTTCTCTATAAAGAGAGAGAGAGGGAGAAAAGTAGGAAAATAAAAAGAAACAAAAGATAAAAATGCTCTATTATGAGTATAATAGATCACTCAGGCCTTGCCAACCAATTCTATAAACTACAAAGAGACTATCTAAATTGAGGTGTGTTCTAGTATTGTGCATTAAACAAAGGCCGGGCTGCTAATCAGCAATTGAGATATACATGTATGTACTGTGTGTCATGGAGGCTTCACCATTACCCACTTGCAATTACTTAGGTTGTCAGCTAGAGGCTTAAGAATTGTATGTAGCCAATCACAAATAACTAAAGGTTGACTCTCAATATGACACATCGTTTTTGTTTGTTTGTATTACTACCAAAAGTGTATGTCATAGAAACAAATGGTTGTGATCAAAATTAGATTTTCTACAAATTTTTTAAGTTGCTCAAAAATTGGGTCAAAGTCCCTATACTATTATACTAGTACATAGTCTCTTGCCAAATTTCATCACAAATGGTTTGAAGAGAATTCTCCATTTTTATAATATTTTTGATATATATATATATATATATATATATACATGTTTTTATGTTATGTAGAACTTCTGAGCTGATTCCAACCAAAATTGGATTTTTTATGAATTTTTAAGTTGCTCAAAAATTAATGTACATGTAGCACCATATAGGGGTTATATTTCATTCAAAATAAATTTTGCATTTTCATTAAATTCGCAAAATTAAATTCCACAAAAGGGAAAATGGCTGCAGAAGGTAAGATTTGTGAAAATTTAAACCAACAAATGGAAAATCTGAACAAATTCGCTAAATTTTATACCAACAAAATAAAACCCTATACAGTAATTGTATTTCCATTGTCAGCAACTCAGCATACATGTAAGTGTAATCTTACCAAAACGTTAATGAGGAACAAAAGAATTTCAAGTGCAGTACAGACATTGACACATGTAGAATTAATGGCAGCATTTGATGGATCAAATTGAGACTACAAAATAAATAATCTTTCATTTTGTTTTATCACGATAAAGTCTTACCCTTGTTTCTAGTAGTTTGCCCAACCATGAAAGGTTCACGTTTAATGCCTAATAACCCTCCCTCTCACTCACTGCTTCAGGGCAGTTTTTCAAAAAGTTTTAAGTGAAATAAAGGGAGAGGTGTGGCTTGTTGTGCATCAGCAGCTAATCGGAAGTACATCTATAATAGAAATGGCTCGACACAAGGAAAGCTCCCTGAATGTTTTCTTGTCATCTGCTCCAACTATAAAGGAGTTAACTGAGCATGTTGATGTTGGTACTAACTGGTATATAGTTGGTACCATGCTTGACTTGGATCAGAGGCAATTGCAAGATATTACTGGAAAAGCTGTCCCTAGCACTCACAAGATGATTGAGATGTTCAATCTATGGCTGACCACTACTCCTACTGCTAGTAGGAGACAAATACTAGAAGTATTAAGAATAAGAGTAGTGGGAAAGAACACACTCGCTGATGAATATGAAAAACATTTGAGGAAATTACATGGAACGACCTGTAAGCTATACATGACCACCAAGAGTACATGATGGGTTATGACCACGCATGCATCTGTAGTTAAATACAATTCATTAAACTTCTTGTAGATACACCACCGTCAACTGAGGCAATTTCTATCCTTCAAAGGAGTATTCAATCATTGAATGAAGCTCTTGTCTCTCCTGTACAAGTGTCTCAACTGTTATACTGTAAGAGATGTATAAGTGAAGCTACTCTGGATGAAATGGAGAAAATAGATCAGAGAAAGTCACTGGATGACAAGAAGACCACTCTATTGACTGCCATGCAAGAAACAGTGTCTAGCGACTACAGAAAACTTAAAGATATTGCTACAGTGCTGTCTGATGTTGAAGAAACAAGAGATATAGCCAATGGAATTATGACCAAATACGGTATGATAATGAATAATGTTATCACCAGTTCATTTGTTTAATAGAAGAGAAATTTTCCCATGATGACAATAGTACAGTATTACAGCCAAAAGAGGTTGCAACGGGCAGTAATGAAGATCGTGCTAGTGATATATTGAGGAATAATTACAGTGCACTCTCTCAGTCAATTACTGAACCAGTTCGTATGGCAAGGTTGCTTCATGAAGAGGTTATATCTGATGAGGCTCTGTCTTACATTATATCTACCAGAGGTTCTGTCTCTGACAGTAGAGCAATTCTTCTCAAAGCTGTACGAGATGCTGTTCACTCCAATTACAAACACCTGGAGTTGTTTGTTACTGTATTAAGGAGGTTCTCAAAGACTGCTCATTGTGGAGATACTATATTTGAAGACTTTAGTGAGTTAAATTTAAGTGATATTTAATTTATAATGCTGCTGTAGAACACAATTTTAACACTAATGTTGATGATATTGAAGAGATGGAAACTTACTTAGCTGAAAGTATAAATTTTGCAATAATAATTATTATTTATTATTATGTTCCTGCTTTCAGAAGGAATTTCATCAAGTGACTCAGAAAGTGAGAATACTTTTTTATATTATCATTAATTATTTTATTTTGTTAAAGCTGAAGACTCAGCTGTTCTTGGTCACAAGATATCATTTCCTCGTAATATGAGAAATGAATTTAAGCAAATGCGGACAAAGTTTGGATCAACTTTCTATAATATACGGCAAATTTTTTCAAAGAAACTGGCAAAATCATCAAAAGTTGTCAATAAAATGAAAGCATTGCTTTCTGACTGTTTTCCTGATCTTAAGTCTGAACTTTCTGTTGCTAAAACAGTTGATGGAGTTCTAGATGTGGTAAAGAGAAAATGTAGCATTGTTGATGTTCATCCTCTTGAAGTATTAGCCGTTCAGTTTAAAGTAAAAGAAGCTGAAGACATCATCAAGGAACACAAAGAAACAGCTAAAGAATTCTGCAAGTCAGTAACTGTGAGTCTTTCCAAAGATGAAACATTACAGTCAATTTTAACACGATATTTGCTATGTGAAACCATAACCTTTGTCCTGAACTGGGATCCTGATAAAACTACACTGCAAGATGTCAATGATGTACTGTTGGAGTTAGAGCTCATACAAAAATATGAAATAAAAGTAGTTAGAACTCATAGTGGTCGATCAGTTGTAGTGAACTGCTACTGCCCTGCTGTATACACTGGCTCACTGATAATTGCTGTCCTTGATAAGATAAAATACTACAAAAGAGAGGATTGAAGGAATTTCTGGTAGGCAACTGCATTATATGGGATGCTACTCAGGTTAGAGAATTCAAGTAAATATACTATTTTTATTGTATATGCATGTATAGGTAGTGAGTGAGAACACATCAGAGATGAAGAATTTGCTTGTACAGATTGATGATTTGAAAGCTGCTTTAAAAGAAAGAGATGAAAAAATAATGGGTAAGAGATATCTTTGATTAACTGTAGCTATAATGAAACAGATTTGGCAACATTTAAGGAATTATCAGAAAATAGATTAAAAGAAATAGAAGCCTTACAAATAAGTCTTGAAGAGAGTCAATATGTAAATGGTAGGAGTCATAAATATCATGATATCATTATCAGATGATTATTATAGTTCAAAATGAAGAAGTGATTAATGAAATGAAGGAGAAAATTTCAACGCTAAACAGAGAATTGAATCAATTATTAGAAGGTAACAAGAAGTTCTCGGTCACAATTGAACAAACTGTTCCACATGGCAACCCAATTTTTGTAAAAAATTCTGCACTATGATATAGTCATTGCTTTTGGCCAGATTTTTAAGCCATATAAAAATCAAATGCAGCTCAAACTTACTACACAACATGTATGTGTATCAAAAAATTATGAAATTAATGGAAAAATTTCTACTTTCTATTTTGGCAAAAATTTGGCCAAAGATCCTGTACAAGTACAGGGAGTTTAGTCCAATTTTTGAGCAACTTAAAAAATTTGTAAAAAATCTATTTTAAAATTAGGTTAAACTTACAACACAAATATATGCCATTTTGATAAGCTTTGTTTCTCTAAAACATGGCTTTTAAACTTCCTCATTTTTGTTACATTTCCTGAGATACTTTGAGCCAATAACTGCTACTATTTTTGATTTATGGCCATTTAAAAAAATAATTGTGCCAATTCAAAAAAGCCCATGCTTTGTCAAAATAATATTGTTGATCTTAATATCCTTTAACAGATTTTGAGAAGAAGTTAACATCCTGGAAGGACCTGTCAGAGAAACGACTGCAAGAAATAGAACAATTGAAACTGAAACTTGACAGTATGTTATTTTTAAGTGAATAGTTCACTATGTATGATAATTTAAATTATATTGCAGGCATTAAAAACTGAGATTTTTTTCAACCATAATTTCAATCTTGAATGCCCATGCATAATAGGTGTCTTGAAAAATGATTGTATTGCATCTATCAAAACACAAATGAATTAGCTAAACATTTTGCATTAACTATTTGTGTGTTTGTGATTATATAGTACAAGAGGATGGAGAGAATGGAGAGGTGCAGTGGAGCAATGATGATGTACATCTTCTTAAACCATCAGTAGATCAATGCATGGAGGTGATATGTGAACTAGAGGAGGAACATGAGGTTGTCACACTCATATCCTCATCATCTGAAAGCATACAGTTCCTAATACCAGCTATTTTGGAAAGAAGAACAGTAAAAATGCTTAGTATATTCTCCTCATTCTTAACACGTGATGATATCCTTTCTTTTTCTTCTCAACTATCAACAAACCAATCATTAACAACTCTAAACCTAATTGATGGCTCAATGAGTGATGATAAAGTCACCCTACTAGCACAATCACTACAATATAATGAAACACTTCAATACTTAAATCTTCAATATAATCCTTTAACTTCAACCAGTGCTCAATCACTAGCTGAACTTTTACTCATTAACAACACTCTCAGTTCCCTATGCCTTTACAATACTAACATTGATACTGATGGAGTACTGGTACTGATGGAATCTCTCAGGACCAATAATACACTAAGGACACTTGGGCTAGATGGACAACATCAAGAAACTTGCTATACTTTACCTTATTATGAACATATAAAAACCAGAATTATCTTTTCGTAGTCACTAATTTTATACATAAAGTGAAGATGAGTTTATTATGGCACATGGCTCTCAAAACATCAATTTGTGATATGTGTATGTACAATACCCAAAAAATAATAATGATAATTACACATTGTATTCATTATAATCATGGAATGCATTTTAGTGTTATTTTATTGCTAATTTATCACTCACATAAACACAATATTAGCAATGGGTTGATTGTAGCGGAGGCATTGTAGTAACGTATAGCGCAACGAAAATCTCATTCTAAATGCTATGCAGCAACAAATTATATTAAGTGTTATATTAATCAACATAAAACATAATTTAAAACAGTTTTTACACCACAGTATTATTGACTGCAGTCTCATGTATGCTGGATTAATATCAGATTGAACATTGGGTCTATCATAATTCAATTTATAAAAAATCAATGCATTTAAGTTTACAGCCAAGCTACATTAACATTTGAAACAAAAAACATAGACACACTTTAGATCACTTTATATTGTAGTTCTATACAAACATTAACAACAAACTGTAACATAATTAAGTTTCTACTCTTCTATTTAATGCCCCTCATTATTCGTCTGCAATGTTGACTCTTTATTTCAGCTAGTGCTGTCTCAAGACTGTTAGTCAAATGAATGAGATTAACAGGATCAGTCTCTATCGTATGAACACTAGGAACACCTAATGAAACAAAGAAATGCGAAGAAAATTAAAAAATTGGTTATACATGTAATAATGCTATCGTTAACATACATGTACGTGTATCATAATTACATGTACATGTTTGTCTCCAAATTTTGCCAGTCAAAAATTTTGTCAAATTTTGGTGTTTTGATTGACAAAAATGACAAACATGTCAATGTACAATGTATGTACAAATCAATCCACAGTACATGTACATTACATGTATCTACATGTACATGTATGTGTATAAGAATGGATACTAGGGAAATGGCATTATTATAGAGAGGGAGAGCTCACAAAAATACACAAACAAAAAGACAATCCACAGCAACAACTATTAGTATTATTATAATTATACAATAGACCCCCTAGGAGCTAAGATTATTTTCAATGAATATGATTACAATAATAATATTCATTCATAATAAATAAAATTTTCCTATATGGCATCAACCCACAATGTAAATTACTGACGGCAAGAACGCCTCAAGATCAAAAGAAAATCAAAGGCGGTGACACCACCTGGCCATTTTTGTAAGCGCTACAAGGTACTACAGGATTACAAGGTACTACAAGCTTACAAGCAGCATTTATGGAAAGTATGGAGGCCAGACTACTTCATATAAACCAGGTAACTTTTGCTGCAACATAGTTTTCTTGCTATGCTTCAATTTGGCACCTTGGGCTTTGATCTGCCTTTGATGTGGAGAGCTTCTTGCCGTCAGTAATTTTAATCGTGGGTGGCTACCCATAAATAATTTATTCAAAATAGTCTTAACGTCTAGGGGGTCTATACATGTACATGTATTTTTACCTTCCTCCTCAGTATGTAGTCTCAGTAGTATTGATGGTTGTACTTGTCGTTCCAGTGATCTAGAGCTCAGTTGTGCCTCCAGTCTCCACTCCAGGTCAGTGTAGTGAGGAAGATCAAGGGACATACTCATTAGGAGGGACCTTATCTCAGAACTGTTCTCCTCATATAGCTAAAAGAGAGGATAAAATTAATATTAAATTAATTAGAAGAAAATTAAAACAGCAAATTGTTATAATAGAGATGCCTTTGGTCAGGTTAAATTGAATGCCTAAAAATTAAGTATTAGTCAAATATGTATTGGCTCATTTTTTGAAATGCTCATAACTTGAAAAATATTTGTCAGAAATAGCTCAAACCTTCTACATAGCACAAGGACATCAATATGTATCAGAAAATGCAATAAAAATTTGGGATAATTTTGGAGTCATTTTTTGGAAAAAAACATGGGCTATGTATGCCATTGCTTTTTTCTCCAAAATTTTGTTATTTTTAGAAAATGCTCATAACTCAAAATTATTTGTCAAACAATGTAGCATAAGAATATCAATGTGTTTGATGAAATAAACTTACTGCATATAATTCCTTGTTTAGCTCCTCGTCAAATCCAAGGATCATAATGGAGTCCAAAAAATCAATTTCATTGACTGATAGTTTTGAAGATTCAACTAGTAGAAACATGAGACCTTGAACACTCTGTCTAACTGTAGCAGTGTCAACACCTAGTTTCTCTATAGAGAGAGAGAGGGAGAGGGAGAGGGTGGGAAAATAGAAAGAAATAAAACATAAAAATGCTCTATTATGAGTATAGTGAATCGCCCAGGCTTTGCAAACCAATTCTATAAACTACAAAGGCACTGTCTAAATTGAGGCGTGTTCTAGTATTCACATTAAACAAAGGGCCCACCTACAACTGCCAATTTGCAAGATCTATGCATAATAGCTGTGCTTATCAAGCAGATCCCCATTCTTGCTTGTCATGCAGGGCCCATTCTCTCTTATGTGCTTCACCATTACCGACTTGCAATCATTATAGGTTGTCAGCAAGAGAGAGGGATACAGTTCTATGTAGTGAATCAAAACTAATTAAAGGTTGGCTCTCAATAAGAAACATTATTTTTGTGTGTTTGTGTTACTACCAAAAGTGTCAAAGAAACAAATGATAGCAAATGATTCAAATCAAAATTGGATTTTTTAATGAATATTGTTAAATTTGCTCAAAAATCAGGTCAAAGTCCCAGTTCTTACCTGTATATTTGGCTAAATTTTGTGAAAATGGTTAGAGAATTCACCAATTTTATAAATTTATCTGATGCATATGTTGTTATGTAGTGTAGAAACTTTGAGTTGATTCTGATTAAAATTGATTTTTTTACAAATTTTAAAAGTTGCTCAAAAGGAATGTACATGTACCGTATTTTACTGATAAATGCCTGTCATTAATATATTCTAGCTATAGATACGCATATTTCTACCAAAAATAATGCCCCACTGCTTAGATAGCTCCAAAGTGCGAGCCTGGTCTGAGTTGCTCAGAGTTGGGGGTTCGATCCCACTTGAAGTACCTTTTTTATTTTTTTTCGACGAATTTTTTTGCTGCTTAATAAGAAATAAACTCCCGGGCGTTTAATCGGTAAAATACAGTACTTAATTGTCAGAAGCTTGTGAATGATGCTGTTGAATTTTATAGTAGGAAACCCAGTTTGATGCATGCTAAATTTGTTTCTACAGCAATGAGAATTGAAATGCAAAATGACAAATGCACAGGTAATGAAGGGGCGGGCAAGACTACCCATTGTACTATACAGCTGTATAGTGGGAAAAACTGGTAGAGTTTTATTTTGTCATTAACAGATTGATCATAAAATTGCTAAAAAAAACCAAGCCATTTTGCTTTATTCTAAGCATGCTTAATGACACATGTGTATGCTAATATCTAATATAGGGCAATCAATTAACCATTTAACAGAAATTCACATATATACGTGTACATGTACCATCCCACCATCCCAAATGACTCTTAGCTAGTAAAGATATAGAGTGACTACTTACGTGCTGCTCCAGAGTATAGCTTAGTGTTTGGTCCGTTTTTGATAAATTCCATTGATATCCTGCAAAACTCTCTCACAACTAATGGGTGTGGTTATTAAAAAATAAGCAACACACATATACACCTTCTCATTAATTAACGCTACTTTTCAGCCTCTCTCTCACTCTTACCAGAAATGTCTACAGTGGAGAGAAAGGAGAGATGGGTCTTGTGTTCTTCAGTAAGAACCAGCAACATGATTATTTTGTCTTTAAAGAGAAGATATCAAAATCTGCAGGCAGCCACACCTACTACTGTGGGTAGTAGGTAGGCGGGGCATTGAAATAATGCAACGTGGCTTGTAAAAGCTCATGCAGAGCACGGGAAAGAGAACAAGTCAACAACAAGTATGCCGTCTTCTTCCTCTACTCCTTCCACGTCTCGCCAGCAGCCTTTCTGTGGCGGGCTGTGTCCTTCTCCCCCTCGTCTCTGGATCTACTCGACCATTTGTCTACTCCTGTACGGGTTTTTCAAAGAATTCAAACCATCGGAAGCTTTCCTAACGCCGTACCTCAGGAGCGAGGATGAAGGCAAGAACTTTAGTTCTCACCAAGTAAATGATCTCATATACCCAGTCTGGACCTACTCCTACCTCATATCAGCCATATTTGTGTTCCTTCTCACCGATCTCATTCGCTACAACCCAATAATAATAATAGAAACACTTTCTTACATTACAACGAGACTTCTCCTAATATGGGGTACATCTGTATTCTCTCAGCAGATGATGCAGGTGGCATATGGGATAGCTACAGCAACTGAAGTTGGTTATTTTTCTTATATTTATTCAGCTGTTCCGTTTGAGTATTATGAGAGGATCACTGGCCCAGTACGAGCTGCTGTCTTGTTTGGTCGATCTTTTGGAGCTTTTGCTGGTCAAATCGCTTACTCCAATGGTCTTTTAGATTTTTATGGACTCAATTACTTTTCATTTGCAAGCGTCTGCGTCGCTGCTGTTTTTGCTGTACTTTTACCATGGTATTTCAAAGCCCCTTGTCAAAAACCTCCTAGAAATCTCTACGTCAACTTCTCAACCGAATTAGAAGAGGTTTCACCTCCAGAAGCACCTCCGTCGATATTGAAAGGCTGGCTCTACAAGTGGAAGGACTTTAGAAAGTTTTATACGAAACCGACTCTCTTGAGATGGTCTCTGTGGTGGGCATTTGGTATGTGCGGAATGCTCCAGGTTGGAAACTATGTACAGTCGCTTTGGAAACACATCAACGAAGAGAATGGAGATGAAGGTTAGTATTTCTATTACTCATTACTTCCAGGAATCTTGAAATTGTTTATGTCGTATGTCAATTGATAGAATTAATTCCCTTTAGAAAGTGAAATATTTGAGAGCATTACTTTTTTGTGGCAAGTTTTGGTATACTTTATATTCAGGAAAGCAAGGTTTAAGGGCTTTACAATATTGGTGTTTTGTATAGAATTTGGTTCTATTTGAACGAATAGCATGCATGAAAAGTTGCCTACACTTTTGATTAAAAATTGATGTAATGCTGGGACTGACCATCATAACAAACATCTGGTTATATTCTGATGCAATACCTGTACTGATATGTGAAAGTTTAAAACCCATCAGCCAAAGATTAGACTATAGATATAAATTAACATTTTTTAAATGGAGGAGAATTACCAACTTAGGGGAATATACATGTACATGTGTACATCAGTGCAAACATTATGATATTATACCCATTACTTATAGTTTGATTTGATTATTATTACTGGGTTGAAGCCCCTCATATGTACATGTACATACATGTAAGTAACTACCCTTCTTACCACATTAAGCCAATGAAATGTTGGATGCATGTAGCATACATGTACATGTACATGTATGTAGTTCACAATACCCTCTAACATGCCCTTTTTCCTATTATTATTACTACAGATGCTGTTCATAAGAGATACCAGTTGAATGGGCTAGTGGAAGGTACTACTGATCTCTTTGCAGCACTGACTGCAGTGCTTGCTTCATTACTGAAAGTGAACTGGCCTGTCTGGGGAGAAATAACAATGGGGAGTCTCTCACTCCTTGCTACTGTGGTGCTATTCATCTCTTCTTATTCTCATATTGTCTATGTTGCTTATGCCTGTCATGTCATTTACAGATCTACATTTGCTTTTGTGATAACAATAGCAAGGTGAGCCTCATATAAAACACATTAGAAATTTTTTAATACCGTACAGCGGGAAATTTTGGAGGGGATTAAATTTGGTGAATTGGGATTTTGATAGCCATTTACCAAAATAAAAATCTGCCATTTTCAGCAATTATGCGTATGCTCAATGGCATGTGGCCACAAATTCGCCAAATTAAATCTATCAATCACCAAAATATAGCAATTCGTCAAATTTTACTCCATCCAAAATTTCCTGTTATACAGTACCTATTTGAAATTAAGTTTAATGGAGATACTATATTAAAGTCTAGTAAAGGCCTTTGTCAAATAAAAGACTGTTTTAATTTGAAAGCTTTGTTGCTACAGGGGCTACATGCATTAAGAAATTGAAGCCTTTATTTGATTTATCAAGTATAGGAGAGCCCTCAAATTGAAGCCTACATTTGTACATGTATAAGTTAAAGTCAAGAAATAGAAGCCTGCTTCTATTTAAGGATTTGTGGTAATTTTAAAGGCAAAATTATTCTGTAATCATCCAAAATTCCAAATTTAATCTCCCATGAAAATACGATGCTCATAACTTAGTACAATGTACATGTACATGTATGTAGTGGAAAGATAATTAGTAATTATTTTATTATTATTATTTTTTCTGTTTAATTTTCTAGTTCCCAAATTTCAATTAATGTTGATTATGAGAGCTATGGTCTCATTTTTGGATTCAACACGTTAGTGGCTCTTGTACTCCAGACAGTGCTGACTGCTATTGTCAATAGCTGGCTAGAACTGTATGTGAGGACACAGGTAAGAAGAGAACACACATGTACAGTCCACATCAAAAAAAGGCTAAGTAGGGTACAGTAGAGAAGAGAACCTTGAAGGTAGTTCGTAGGTACTTCGCTCTTACTTCGCTACTCTTTGTTACTCTTTGCTACGTTATGCTGCTATCCCACCCAGTCACATGTACTGTAGTAGAACTTGTAGATGCTTCTTTGGCTGTCTGTGCTCTCCAAGTTCATTTATATTACCACTCTATCCCCTTCTAGAAGCCCATTTAGGATGTTTTTTGCTCCATTCTACTGTCGTGCTACTGTCTTCTACTGTCCTGCTACTGTTGCAGTAAGCATGTGCAGAGAAGGAGCAACGAACTTCCTACGCAAAAGTAGAGTAACTGTGGGGTAGCTACTTAGCCTTTTTTGATATGTACTATATTTCCTTGAAATACTTCCACCCTCGAATTCTATCCACCCTTGAATCATATCCACACCATTAAGAAGGCTCAATAAAATAATTAATATCTTTCCTGTGAATGACGTTTATGATTTATAATGATATTCACTGGGTTGCCATAATTGGAAATTTATTCAGGCCGCCATTGTGGAGGTATTGTTGCACTGTTTCCAATGGAGCTCGATACACTTTCTGCCGTTTTGTATGAAGAGCAAGCAGTTATAGCCTCAAAAGTAAAAAATTGCAACCTTTATCTTTCTTTTCATAGCTGTGCAACTATTTGGAGCCACTGGAGTGATGTGGAGATGTAGAATTGACAGTTTTTACTAGCCTGTCGGTCCATTGTAGCTAATGATAGTATACATTGTACCTCCACCATGGCTGCCTGAAAAATTTTCCATTTACAATATCCCAATGAATATCATTATAAATCATAAATGTCATTGACAGGAAATACATGAATATTCGTCCTTGAATTATTACTGCATGTTGTGCATGTGCAGTAGTTTTATTGCACAATTGCCACGTGTTAGCTGTAGAGGAAGCTCAAGAAGCTTTTAGGGTAGCTGCTAACTGGAGCTGAAGTTATTAGGCTTTGCTCTTGAATGCTATTCGTCCCTGTATTGTACCCGCAGTGCTCTTGCTTTTGAAATTAATAGTACTCACAGATAGAATTGAAGGAAATACAGTATAGGCTTAAATACATTAAAGCCTAGTTGTTTCAATTAGAAGCCTTGGCCTATTTGATTAAGGAATTACGTGCATATACAACCCTATATAGAGTATAGGAGGGCCTACCCTTATACTAAGATATATACAATGTAGCCAGGCTTGTATAAGATACATGTGCATTGTACATGTACATCTATTAAAATAGATATTAACTTAAATATTAACTTTTTCTCTCTTCCTCTATAGTTTGTCATTTACGGTTGTTATTATTATGTACTGACCATCCTGTTTGTCTTTGCTGGTGTTTACAAGATATCTAAAACTGGAATCTTATCTAGTTGTAAACAATGCTGGCTATCAAAGTCAAGACAAAGGTACACATGTGTGTCCACTCTCTCTTTCTAGCTTCTATTCTTCTTTATCTTCTTATTCCTTTTCTTTTATCCCATTACTTTGTTTATAATTATAGGTGTACCTTTCTCCTTTTCACTCTCCTCTTTTTTGTCTCCCTCTTCCTCTCCCTCCCCCTCTCTCCCTCCCCCCTCTCTCTCTCCTCTCTCTCTCTCTCAAAGGTTAAACAGTGTTCGTGAGAGTATGATCCAGTACAGTGAAAGCTCTAGTAGTGAAACATCATCTGAAGATGAGGTGATAGAACCTGATAAAATAACACAATCAATGCAACCAGTGGCATAAGCCAAAAAGATAACTGTTCCTTCTAACTCTATGTAATGTATGATGTAATATGTACTCATCTGTGTATGTGGTTATTCTAATATTTCTTTATTCATTTTCTTATGCAATACCATGGCAATACTTATGTAATGAGTGATGACACACATTGAATTGGCAAAAGAATTTTGATGTTTCTCTGTACTTGTTCTCTCATACCTATACTACCTTTTAAGATTGTACTATTTGTTTTTTGTTAACAGTATTTTGTTTTTTGCAGGAAATATTATTTTTAATTTTATAATGTGAACATTTAAATAAAATAGCTAGAGGAGCAGAATAATTATTGTTATTTTTATGTCTCATTATACAAACTTGTGACAATTAAAGGATAACTGAGGAAAAACAATGATTCATTATTGTCAAATAAAAGTGGGAGGAAAAAAAACATTTTTATTGACTTCGTATTATACAAACTTGTGACGAGGATTAAGAGTGAAGAGAAATGAACTGACAGGATGATGACTTGAATGAAAGTTAAGTGGTTACGATTGTACGTAGCTGATTTTTACTGAAACCTTGTTCTAAAAATGTGTACGGTTTAACTACTTTCCGAACTACCCCACCCCCATCATATGAATGATACTATTGTTTTTGTTTTTGTTAACATTTTGTCCTTTTTTTGAAAAAAAAACATTTAAAATATACTTTTGTAAACATTTAAATAGGAGGAGAAAAATAATGCAATGTTATTTACACAAACTTGTGAAAAGTAAAGGCTAAGATAATTAATATTGAGGAAAAACAATGACTCAAAAAATAACGTTAAATAAAAGTGGGAGAAAAAAAAACAAGGAGAAAAAACAATCTGTTATTGACCTTTTTATTATACAAACTTGTGACAAGTAAAGGATTGAAAAAGAACGGATGAACTAACAGGAATGACGATTTGAATGAAGAAGTGAAGCAGTTATGATTGTAGATAGTGGAACTGTTACTGAAACCTGGTTCTAAACGTGTACGGTTTGATTACTTTCCTAACAACCTCCCCATCAGTCGTCTCATTAATAATAGCAGAGTCTGACCCACTACTGAACAAAGCAAGGCTCCTATCATCAAGAGGACCGGAAGAAATCTTACGCAAATTCGACTTACGAAAACCGATATTATTAGGCTCGGAGCGCTGACGAATCTGAGGACGGACTAACCAGTGGCTGGGATGAGGGGGAACAGGAGGAGGAGAAGGAGATTCTACTCTACCAGGTATTGAAAACTGCTCGGGGCAATGAAGCACGGTGGCGTAGGATGGAGGCGGGTCTGCATCGTAATTAGGTGATAGCGGTACGGGAGATAAGGACGACGGACGGGCCCGTGGTTGAACGGATAAATGAATCGGGGAGCTACTGGTAGAATGGACTGGTGAGTGGACAGGCGTTTGATTAACTTGAGTGTGGGCGGGGCTGAGTTGTCCTAGCTCCATACGGCGAGGTGGTAAAACCGGGGACTTAGGGGCTGGTTTTTTAAAGTTTGGAAGTACAAGAGGTGCAACGGGCGTGCTCTTTTTATGGAAGTTTTGCAGCCATGCCCCCACAGCACTAATGGAGTTATCGACACTGATGCTACGCTGTTTCTTTGACTCGGTTTGTTTGCGAGCTATGATTGGCTCAGAATTCTTTTTATCTTTTACTCTTCTTATTGGAATGGGCGGGGCTGATGTGGGTGTGGTTGGACTGGGCGTGGTCATTTTATTGGAATGGATACTGACAAACGTCTCGTAAGGAGAAGGAGAAGTAGGCCTGGGGGAGTGGTCCTGATCTTTGCTTGGAACCAGCTGTTTCATCAAAGGGGTGTGGCTTGGACTATCTACATTATCTGCCTCCAAATTATAAATTTCGTTATTTGGTGTGACACGTCCGCTGTTGCCGTGGAAACCGGAGAGTGTGAAATCGTCATCATAGATACTTTTGCTTTTTGGTTTCGAAGGCATGACTGCAACATCATACATATCTTCAACCACCAAAGGAGGCGTAGCTTTAGTAGGTGTGGCCAGTTTAGGACAAGTATCGTAGATCATTTCTGGAATGGCTTGTAGAGGAGTTGGTGCCTTTACTTGCAACTCTTCAACCCTCTCACTGATGCTGTCCTCTAGGTAATTATCTCCTTCATCCTCCCTCAGTCCCTCTTCCTCGTTGTCTATTGTCGATGGAATGTATGAGCGAGTTATTGAGTCACTGCTTCCAGTGAGTATTTCACTGAATGGAACGTCAGCATCATCATCTAACAGTGTGCCCTCTCCTCTGGAGCTGTCCTGTACCACTCCAATGTATCGGGATAGGAAATGCTTCTCCCTCATGGCATCATCAGCTGATGCTCTCTTGAGTTTCCTACAATGAGGAGAGAAAGGGACGAGGAGAGAGAGAGGGGGAGGGAGAGAGAGGGGGGAGAGAGAGGGGGGGAGAAAGAGGGGGGAGAGAGAGGGGGGAGGGAGAGAGAGAGAGAGAGTGGAAAATGAAGAATATTGATAATGAAATCTATATGCACGTGATGTTCATGACATGATTGATTATTCATTCACATGCTCAGAAGGAGCTACTAGTTACATTTACAAATGCTGAAATTTACAGTCCCAGTAACATTCAATCACTATAACTGCACACTTTGGGTGTTGATCTTTTACACTAGCTTTGCAGCATTCCATTGATTTTGAATGATTTGACACTTATTGTGTTTTACTTAGGGTCTCAAATATACACAAAATGACAAAATACCCTAAATCACTTACATGTACATTGTACTCATACGCTGCTAATCTACATGTACATGTACGCTGCTCAGATACAAACATGAAGAGATTATACAAGTACAACATACTTACTACATGTAATAATGCTATTGTGTGGATCACTGATCCTCTTATAATAACTATTATTACTCACTTCTCTCATTTAAAAAAATGCTATTTCTTATACAATAAAGTGGCTATGCTATACTAGGATAATAAAAATTCAGAGAAATTGAAAATATTAAATGTTGCATTTGATACTGTGGATAGTGATGCATATATATGTTGCATACATGTATATAAACTCTTTAAATCACATTATTACAATAACATGCACATACATGTATTAAACATGTACATGTACATCAATATCTATATCCTACCATTGGTTGGATGGCAAAGGAGATTGTTCCTCGGTTGGTCTTTCAAAGCTTAGTTTGAATTCACTAGAAGAAGCTACAAAAAAAAGAGAAAACAATAGATAAGATAAGGAAGGATGTAGTAACGGTTATACCTTCTTCCATCTTGGCACCACTATCAAGTAAATACTTGGCAATTTGAGTCTACAGGAATAGAAATATAGATAGATAAAGTAGAGATTGTGATGATAAGGCAATTATACAATGTTTTCTAAATGTCTAAAGGCAGAGACAGATCTTTAAGCTGGGTTTACACAGCAACGCAAAAGTTTGTACAACGATACAGACTTCGAGCCTGTTTTTGTCGCTACAAAATCTTATCAAGTTTTCCTTGTTACCGTGTAAACAGAAGCATAAAACAGGCGGCACAAATGAGCTACTTCCGTTTTACTGGTGTGCATAAACACAGCCTGGCTGAGTACATGAACATTTTATTAAGTACACGCTTAATTTACAGAACAAGTTTTATTTCAAAGCTCATGTTCTTAAACAACTATCGAGAGTGTTGATGTGTAGTATGTTACACTTGAGAATAGTGATTTAACCAATCAATACCTGCTTGTATTTCATTGCCAGGTAGAGAGGAGTGCACCCAGACTCATCCAGTATAGAGAGAGGAATAGAGCCAGACTCAACCAATAACTGCACTACTTCATGATATCCATAAGCAGCAGCTGTGTGCAACTAAAATACAATTAGAAATTATGTGTGGTATTATATACATTATTACGATTGAGTGTACATGTGTACTAGCGTGCAACAGTACAAGGTGTGCTTATGTCTTTAAGTATATTTTATGTAGAGAAGATCCGCTACTAAATATACAATAATTGGCATATGAGGAAAGGAGAAGTAGACTATGATAATACTTGAACTAATACGATACTTAAATAGTAGATAACAGAATTAGTGAAATGTTACCGGTAGTAATTCTTAGTCTCTCATGTACTTTAATCATTAATCATTGCTGACTAATTCACTGTAAGCATAGTATCTCTATGCTCTGAGCCAAGTTATCATGTTACACTGTAGTATAGTCCAGTAGTAAATGTGTATGCTACCAGACTACATGTACATGTATGTCTATGTGCTTGCTTACTGGGGTCACTCCATTCCTATTAGGTAAGGTCAGATCTTTCCCTTTCAATAATGCATTCCGAACTGCTGCAGTCATTGCTTTAAGTTGCCTCATACGTAAAGAGGGAAGGTCCTCTGTATAAACACCTTCAGGTAAAGGAGAGTGATTAAGATATGACTTATATGTACACTGAACCTGATTGTGCCATCTCTTCTTCAATGATATTCCTCACTGTTGCATTCACTGAATAATCCAAAGCGAAGTTACCATCAGTGTCAAGTAGTGTGACGTCTGCCCCATACTACAGAACACATAATAAAATTAATAATACTACTGTACAAAGTAAATCATTTTCTGGCAGCTGAGATTTTTTGATGTCACTCACTTCAAAGAGAAGATGAAGGATTGAACTGTGACTGTGTGCCGATGCAAAATGAGCTGCCGTCCAATTGTCAGTGTCTCGATAATCAACAGATGCACCATGCTCTAGTAGCAGCCTTGCAATATCTTCATGACCATTAATGCATGCCTGGAGGAGAGGAGGAAATAACATGAAGGAATTCTAAAGCCACCTGCATTAAATTTATTTTAGTATTTTAGGTTTATAATCAACTGTTTTGTTTGTCATTTCACAAGCTCTTCATTTTTTATAGTGCACTGTAAAGCTCAAAAAAGTGAAGACAGATTTCTAATTCACAAGCATGCACAAAATCATAGATCTACATTACTTGCAAGAAAGCCACATTTATGTCTTCCTTAGATATGGTGGAGCTGTGGTGCTTCAGAATGTATGAAACTAGATGAAAGTAAGAGAAATGCTATTAATTTTAAATATAGTGAACAGCTACT